TACCCGATTGCCGTTTGTAAATATTTGCTTCAATCTTGAATTTGTGGGTTGAATAATTTGGCAAGTATCCCCATAATCCAATGAAAGTCTCGATTTCCGCTCATCACCTTCTAAAAAATTCAAACAAGATATGGTTGTCAAACATTGTTGTCTCTTCATAAGAACGATCCATGTTACCACTAGTTATCACTCCACCATCTCCATCTTTGAGTGATATCCAGTGACTTTCGATAGTCCATTTATCCTATTTATCACATAAAAACACTGTCCTATTCCTCTAAGGTAGATGGTTGTTGCAGCACTTTACCCACCATGGCTAAACAACCATATCCCAAAGAACTCCTTTTTGACTTAGCATTGAAGGAAATAACTGAGGAAAGCTCTACCCTTATTGTAAGATCAACTAGACACATTCAAACTTCCAAGAAAAATCATCAATTTTCACAAACTCTAGTTAAAATCGAAACAAGGAAAGATATAAAAATTTTCATATTAGCTACCACAAAAGGAACTACATAGAGAAACGAATTGCTTAACGAATGCAAAGATTGATTCGAAAAGAAAAGTAAACGAAAGAAATAAATTGAAAACAGAAAGAAAAAGCTAAGGAAAGCCATAACCATGGCAAAAGGAGAAGCTACATCTCTGCTAGGAAACCTTCTTTAGTTGGTCACATGCTAGGACCTAAATTAATATTATTGAAGGTGAGTATTGCATATGGTTGAGTTTTTATTGAGCTCAATATTGATCTACTTTTAAATTTTTAATGGTTTTAAAATTAAATTCAAACTTAAATGTTTTAATTCACAACTTAAAGAGTAAGTTTTTAATGTATAATCGTAAATTTCATTTTTTAATATAAAAAAGTAAATTATATATAATCCTTTTAAATAATTATCTACCTTGTGCATCACAAAAAAAAAAAAAAAGTGTGATCTAATCTCAATGTAAGATTTTTTAGTAAAAAAATTATTTTATATATCAAATTCAACATTTAAATTTAAGTTAATATTTAAAAAAATTAATTCTTTTAATATATTGGCACGTTTGGTATAACGGTTTTGAGGTAGTGGTTAGCGATTTTACCTAAACCGCTAAATATAGGTGTTTGGTAAATTTATATATTTTAAAATCACTACAAATAAAATATTTGGTAAAATTTTTATTTAACGGTTTGAGACTAACGGAAAACGATTAGGGTTCAAACCGCTAGCGGATTGAAAAAACTAGTTTATGTAATTTTTTGTACCAAACTGCTAGCGAATTAAAATTTTTTAATTTTATTGACAAATTTATCCATTTTATTTTTTTAATTTGTGGTCACATTGTTTAATTAATAATTATCTAATAAATTTCAATTTTATTTTTTTACCTTTAATAATATTAAGTGATTATAATATTTTTTTTGTACATTAATTTATAATTAAAAAATATATTATCTTAAAAAACAAAATTTGTTAATTAGATAAAATGATTAATTTTTTATTTAAAAATAATATAATTTTTTTAAAAATAAAAATGAGGGGTGTAATTACATTATTATAATTAATTTATTTTTTTATCATTATTTTTATAAAACTAATAATAAAATATAAAAATATTTTAAAAAATACACTTCTTTATTTTTAAATATGTCTTTATTAGTCATTTAATGTTAAATAATAACCGCTAACTATTGTATTGCCAAACAATTATATTTATCGAATTCGCTATTTATAGTCCGTTATCTATTTTTTACTATTCATCATTCACTAACTACTATTCACTATCTATTACTGTTATTTACTATCCGTTATCTACTATCCACTATCAATTAAATTTTAATTATTGTACCAAATAAGCCCATTTTCTTAATATAAAATATATACTTTTAAAATATCTTCAAGGAACCAACTTGACGTGGCGGATACACTTCTGAAATGGCTTTGGAAAATGGTCTCGAGATAAATAAAAAAAAACATTAAAAAAAAAAGAGTGTGAAAATAACCAAAGAATCAAAATTGCATGTGTAAATGTAAACTTGATTTGAGAAATTGAAGGGCATGCGGACCATCAATTGTATAAAGAAAAATCATATCGACGGGGAACCATTCATCTCCATTCTATTGTAGTATAGCCGAACAGAATTCATCCCTCTCCGCCCTAAACTGTTTCTTCTTAGTAGACCTGGCAAACGGGCATGTTGGGTCGGGTTAGGGTCGGATCATAATGGGTAACGGGTCAAAACAGATCGGATTAAAACGAATCACTGGTCAATGAAGACAGACCCTAACCCGTTCATCACGGGTTATGGGTCAACTTGCGAGTTGACCCAATTAAATTTTTTTTTTCTATAATTTGTACTTATTATCATTCAAAAAAAATTATTCAAAAGATTTAAAAAAAAAATTCAATATCTTATAAAAATAATTTTTTTTATTAATTTAATATATATATATATATTTATAATTCCTCAGAATCACCTTCTTTATTTTCCTTCAAAGAACAACACTAATCAAATTCAAAAACACAACACTTATAAATCTTAATAGAAAAAAAAAAAAAACAGTAGTAACATGACAACCAAAAAACACAAACTCCATTGGGACATATTTGTTTTGGTCATTGCTTTCAAAGAATAATCAATTGAATGCATGTAAGTAAGTAAAGGAGAAAATCAAGTAAAATTTTTACTTGGAATGGAAAGAAAACTAAAAAGCATAAATAAGTAAACAATTTACCTTGAAGTATTTAGAGAGAAAAGTTATTGACAAAAAGAGCATTCACCAAACTCATAGGAGAAAAAAAAAAAAAAGGCTAATTGGACGCAACAGTGAGTCCATAAGACTAAGATTTAAGTCTGAAATAATGTTAAAGACTAAAGAGAAAAGGTGGAGTCGAAACTTGAAAGTTGAAAGCTGTATGAAATATGGAGGTTACAGAAAATGAGAAGAGTTTGAAGTTTGAAGAGTTAGAGTCTTCGAGAGTATTAGGGCAAGTAAAAATAGGAAAGGTCAGAAAGTGAGTTATGAGTGGAGTGAGATTATTTTTACTTCTAAAAGATGATGAGTCAAGAGAATCAATTAGCTAATTAAGGAATATTAATCAATTATTAGAGGTTTAGGTGGGATTGAGAATTAGAATATAAAATAAATAAATAGTAAATTAAAAAATTTTATATTTTTAAACAGATAAATATGTCAACCTGTTAACTCGATGAGTCAACTTATTATTAACCCATGACTCATTGGGTTCTCTTAACAAGCCATTAATGGGGTCACAAGTTATAAATATATTACCTTAACCCGTTTTAAACGAGCCGGTAATGGGCGGGTTAACCGATTGAGTAAAGAAATTGACAGGTCTACTTCTTAGTCAATCGATAGCCAGTCTTCGGGAGTTACTGTCTCAGTGCCATGGAGCCACATCAGGAGAGAGCCGGAGTTCCTCAGTCTCCTTGCCCACCGGTACCAGACCATGGCGGTGGTTTCTCACCCATCCTTGCTGTTTTCTTCCCTTTCTTGGCTATAGCGTCTATGGCAAGCTCTTCCATTTACATCAGTCGTTTAACTCAATTGTACACGTATCCGGTAGTTGTTCCGATTGTTTCCTTTCGATCTATGAGGATAGATGAAGTTCTTTTCTCTGAAATTACGTTTCTTATTTTCATTTTTGTGCATTATACGACTTGATTTTACGGTGATGCTTATAGTTCCTAATTTTATTTTTGGTTGAACATATTTTGCGTCTGATCTATACTTATAGATGTTGTTCTCTGCGAAATTATGCTTCTCACTTTCATTTTTGCGCATTTTAGGACCTACGTTCGTCGTCTCTTTGCTGCTGGTTTATTTACTCCGACCTTGGCAGCTTTTAGTTTTATTTTTTATTCTGAACGATTATCTCTGGAGTTTAGGTCATTTTGACCTATATTTTTTTATTTGTGGCTCTCTAATGATTCTAGCCATTGTTGTTCGTTGTTGTAATGCTTCATTGTTTCGTTATTCTTTGTTTTTTCCTTGAAAATGATGGTGATTTTGATTAATGATGTATATGCATTGTGCATTTTCACTTAAGTACATGACATTACAGTGGCATGTGTGTGTGTAATTGATGTTATATCATAAAATAACTATTACTAATTACCATGCAGAGATTCAACTCAAAGTATTACTTTCATATAAAATTTTCTCCTGATCTAAGTAAATGCTTTGGTGAAAATTATTGGTTTCATCTCTAAATTTTCTTTTGTTGTTTTTGACAAGAGTTAAAGATGTAACATCTGATGGCCTTCCATTGTTTTCTTGTGATTCCTTTGTAACATATGTTATTGTTACTAGAGTGTAATTTTGTTGAAATGGTACAGAAGATTTTTATTTTAGCCCTAAAATTTTTGGGATGCACAACGAAATTTTCAGATACTGATTCCATCTCCATCAAATATTAAGAATAGCTTATCAATTTTGCACAAAGTCCCAGAAGGTCATGTTGGTGTTTATTGGAGGGGAGGTGCTCTTTTAAAGACAATTACAGATCCAGGTATGATTTGAGCTTATGATTTTTGATTTGCAATATGTGGATTCCAGTGCAGAATTTGCCAATGGCTTCTTATATTCATCATTATCAGGTTTCCATTTGAAGATGCCTTTGCTAACTGAATATGAGCTTGTTCAAGTCACTCTTCAAACAGATCAGGTAAATTTTGCTGCCCAAGTTGTGAAGATTGAGTTTCATATAAAGCCTGTAACAAAACCTGATTCCTTTTGTCTTCAAATTGTAGGTGAGGGATATCCCTTGTGGTACTAAAGGAGGTGTAATGATCAACTTTGAAAAGATAGAGGTAGGGCTTTGAACTATTGCTTATTATTGAAGTAGTTAAAGGCTTGATTTTATTCCCTTATTTTTAGTTTGCTTGAATTTCATTCCTTCAGGTTGTTAATCGGCTTCGTAAAGAATATGTGTATGAGACGTTGCTGAACTATGGTGTTCATTATGACAACACATGGATATATGATAAGATTCATCATGAAATCAATCAGTTCTGCAGCTCTCATACCCTCCAACAAGTCTATATTGATGTTTTTGATCAAGTAAGAAAGATGCTTAAAGGGTTTTTAAGTTATGGCAATCATTCTTTCCTCCAAACTGGAGACATCAGGTTTATGTCCCCAGTGTTCACTTATGAGAAAAAAGAAACATATTAATTAAGGGTTATTATGGCACCCAATTTTTTATAATTTTACTGATCCATGAACTGCATGGTTATGCTTTTGCCTTCAAATTTGTTATTAACTGCAGTTATCATGTTGTATGTAACTATATTTTCCATTAGTGATTTCTTTCAATATAATTATGTGTCCTAGACAATTTGACTTTGTATTTACAAAACAATATACTTGGACTGTTTCAGATTGATGAAAAGATGAAAGATGCTCTTCAGGGTGACTGCACACGTTACACACCAGGTATTGAAATCATTAGTGTGCGTGTGACTAAGCCATCCATCCCAGATAGCATTAGAAGAAATTATGAACAAATGGAAGAGGAGCGCACGAAGGTATTTCTTTCTAATTTGATAGGAGTTCTTTTGCTACCCCTTTATAAATACATGTAATAGTTGGTTTTGGCCAAACTTTACATGTAAGAGGACCATGGTCTAAAAAGAAATATATAGAAAGATGAGTGGCTTCGTCAAAGTTTGTCAAAATTTTATGAGAAGAAATTTTTAGTATAGTTGTTGGGGGAGTGGGAGTGTTAAGAAGTGTTTTTAAGTATCTAATAGCCCATGTTAAGTGCATATATGCATATTGTTACTGCCATTAGATTTTGAGGTAATATATTGTGCTTCTAATATATCAATGATTTGTGATTTGATGGTCTTCCCATATGTTGTCCTCTAACAAATGGGGCAATTTAGGCACTTTGGATGCAATTTTAGGTCTCAAAAATTATCAATTGCCACTGATTATTGAGAATGTATGTTGTTAAGAATGGTATAGGGATGCATGGTCTGCATGTCATAGTGTTGTTGTTTAGATCAATTTATTCTTTGAAAGAAACTTTACAGGTTTTAATTGCTATTGAGCGTCAAAAAGTTGTTGAGAAAGAGTCTGAGACAAAGAAAAAGATAGCTATCAGTGAAGCTGAAAAGAATGCCACTGTTAGCAAGATCATTATGGAACAGAAGCTGATGGAAAAGGACAGTGCCAGGACGCAGCAAGAAATTGAGATCCAGATGTACCTTGCTCATCAAAAGAGCCTAGCAGATGCTGATTTTTATCGGTAAAATACTCTTTTACTTGTGTTTTTGTTGTGAAAAAATGTGGAAATGAGGTACTATGTAAGTGTTGATGGTGTTCTCTATTGAGCTTTCAGAGTAATGAAGGAAGCTGAAGCAAACAAGTTGAAGCTGACTCCTGAATTTCTTGAGCTCAAGTTTATTGAGGCCATTGCTGATAATACAAAAATTTTCTTTGGAGACAAGGTTCTCTCTCTCTCTCTCTCTCTCTCTCTCCAAATCTCTCCTTTTCTTAACCCAGCCTATACATTTATATATCATGCAGGTACCAAATATGGTTTTGGATCAGAGGCTGCTCGGGAACTTCCTTCAAAACATGAGTAGTAAGGTGTATAGTGACATTGGAATGGGGATGCCAGATGTTTAAGTTGCAATGGTTTTCAAAATCAAGTGGTAGTTTGGGAACTTCCATAAGCACTGCTTAGTGGGGAAGGAAGGGGTAGGTCAGATGTTTAAGTTGCGGTGGTTTCCAAAATCATGTCGTAGTTTGTACATACGGTCTAACAGTGTAGAGAAGTCAAAAAAGCGTCTTGTTTTGTGACTAATTTTTGGTTGATGTCTCTCTTTGTTAACAACAGTAGCTGTGCTTACCCCCAAAATGGGAAAAAGGTGAAAAACTACTGCAGTTGTAACTAATGCAACAGTGAATAGTCTTTTTTCTGGCGTCTTTACTTTGTATGATGAATAATTTATGAATAATGATGAATGGAATTAAAATTTAAGATCAAAATTTGAGATAAATGATGTGGTGTAAATCACATCATTTAATATATTATAAAAAAAGATTTTATATTATTTAATTATTATTTTTTTATTTTTTAAA